TCATAGCATTAGCATCCATTTATCACTTATATGTTCACCAAATGGATGTTAAAACTGCTTTCTTAAATGATTTAAATGAAGAGATTTACATGGAACAACCAGAAGGATTTGTTCTTGGAAATGAGAAGAAAGTCTATAAACTGGTTAAATCACTATATGGATTAAAACAAGCACCTAAACAGTGGCATGAGAAATTTGATTCTTGCATCATAGCTTTTGGTTTTAAACATAATAGTGTTGATAGATGCATCTACTCAAAATTCACTGAAAATTATAGAGTAATTGTATGTCTTTATGTTGATGGTATGCTTATTGTGGGTACAAATATGGTTGGTATAAATGAAACTAAAAACTACTTATCCTTTGTATTCAAAATGAAAGATTTAGGAGAAGTAGATACCATCTTGGGAATAAAAGTTAAAAAACATAGTAGGGGCTATGCATTAAGTCAATCACATTATATTGAGAAAGTATTTGAGAAATTTAAGCATTTAGGGTTTAAAGAATATAGCACATCATATGATTCTAGTATAAAGCTAGTAGAAAATACTGGTAGAGCAATTGCACAACTTGAGTATGCTAGTGCAGTAGGAAGCTTGATGTATGTTATGCTTTGTACCAGACCTGATATTGCATTTGTAGTAAGTAAACTTAGTCGGTTTACAAGTAACCCCGGTGTAGAGCATTGGAAGGCAATTGGGAGAGTTCTTGGGTATCTCAAGAGAACCTTGGAACTTGGCTTGTTTTACTGTGATTATCCAGCTGTACTAGAAGGTACACTGATGCAAGTTGGATTACCGGTAATGGAGATAACAAGTCCACATCTAGATGGATTTTTGTCCTTGGTGGGGGTGCAATCTCTTGGGCATCCAAGAGACAAACTTGTATATCTCACTCGACCATGGAATCCGAATTCATAGCCTTAGCGGCTGCTGGAAAAGAGGCTAAATGGAGGAATTTATTATTGGATATAAAACTTTGGCCTAGTCCTATGCCTCCAATTTCCATTTACTATGATAGTGATGCAACTCTGTCAAGGGCCTACAGTGGTACATACAATGGTAAGTCTAGACATATAAGTCTGAGACATGAATTTGTTAGGCAACTGATTCAAGATGGAGTTATCATTATAACCTATGTGAAGTCAAGTAAAAAGTTGGTTGATCCTCTTACCAAGGGCTTGGCCAGAGAATTGGTAAGAATGACAACCAAAGAGATGGGATTAAAACCTTTTGCTTAGTCACCTGTAATGGTAACTCAACCTGAACTGAAAACCATCAGTATTGGGTTTAATGGGTAACAACAAGTTACAGCAATGTGACTGTTAGCATTGACATTGAAAAATTTCCCATCACAACATAAGCAGTGTTGTCCGTTATGATGAGAGGTTGAGATAAACTCTTAATGAAGTTCTGAAATGTGTCAAATAACGGAACACATAGTGGAACTTCACCTATGTGAACATAGAAGTGGTGTCGCTTTTCATGAGGGTTTGGGTTTACTCTCGGGATTGTTCATGAAACTAGGAAAGAAGCACATGGCCATAACAGTGCTGAGCCAAACTTAAAACTCTTGCAAAGATTGGACATTTTTGTGTGTATAGGTGTCTTCGGTCTGTCTTGAGAGTAATTGGTTTAAGGTCTTACCACCAATAACTTTGACAAGGCTCTGAGATAACTATACTAACAAGATGTTTAAGTTGATAAACACATTTTGTATGCATAATTGTGTCATAATAGTTTGGATTGAGAGAGAACTATGTAATTGATCAATCAATGTGGGGAATTGTTGGATTTTAATCTCATCAGAGATTAAATCCAATGGGTTTGATTGATTAATTACATGAGAAATTGCACCTGCACACTTGATTGAAAAGATCAGTTTTTCTCTTACAAAACCCAGTTTTGAACTTGTCCCATATTAGAAAATTTTAAGTTTTGTTTTCAGTATTTCAATAGAAGCTGATTTACACTCCTTAGAATTAGTAGAGAAAAGTATGGGGATTCGATACCGCGCAATGCGCGCACATGCGCGTGTGTGTATGGCGCAATGAGGCGCTTTAGAGGTGCACTTTGCTCGCACTTCGCGCGCACCCGCGTGTTGATGAGATCAACGGTCACGATTCAATCGGTGTGATCAAGAGGCACAATTCAAAGTTAACAGTCACCAACTGTTAACTACATTTTAAACAGTCACAATGTTTGAAATTGTGACTGTTCAAAGTACCTTCTCTAAACCAACACCTACCTTTTCTTCATACCTTTTCACAAATTATTTAAGGAGCATGAATCAAACTCCAAAATACACAATTTTGAAATTCACTCTCTCTCTCAGTCTGGTCTGCTACAGTCTCACATAAGGTTTTTTTGGAGACTCTTCAACTTTGTTAGTTGCAGATTCTTGCCCAAGGCTCTGTTGTATCCTAGGAACGAATTTGCCTATAACCCAACAGCAAACTTAGTAAAACTGAGTGGGGGCAAATAATGTTCTAAAAACAGTGTCTTCAGACGCGCCTCAGATCTTCTCCTCCAAAGTTACAGTGACCCCATCTTCTCCAACAGTGCATAGGTCCAAACAAAGGCAGAGTGATCCCATGAATTCGAATGCGCCTCATCGCAAAAATCAAACATGTTCAGAAGACGAGTTCCTCTGTGAGTCACGTAAAGGATCTCTTGTTGAAACACCGGATCTCCCTCGTTTAACAGCCGGTGGACGAGAATCAATGCCTTGAGCGCCACAATCCAATCCCGTGTTTTACCTAGCAGCCTCGACACGGTAGCAACTAGCGATCCAGGCATTGACGTACCCTCTCGAATACGAAGTCAGAGTCAAGTTCTCTCTGATATTCTTCTCGTCGGCAAGATCATCATCGTGACTTGTCGCCTTCACGATTGCCACCTCCAAGTCCGGAGCGGTATTACTGGCAACCTTCGCCAATCCAATGTTGGTTTGGTCCTTAACGGCTCCAATCGCCTTTCTGATGCTTGGCGCCATGCCAACCACCTCCAAGAACTACTTCTATACTCAAACTTCTTAAGATCGAAATAGAAAATAGTCATAGATCATCAAATGGAAACTAGCCCACTAGTTCCACCTATTTCTTTGAACTCTTTGAATCAGAACAAATATCAACCAATCTGAGTTGATTGACTGACCTCAAAAGCAGTGAGAAAGAACGAAGAGACCGACGACAAGCGCACAAGCAAATCAGAACAGGATCAGATCACCCACAACGACTGCCAACAAGAATTGTTACAACCTCAGTAGATCAATCATAGTAATAGCAGCGTTGTTTCGCGAGTGATAGATAACCTAGCGGCGTGTTTGGCATTGGTGGTGCTCCGAAGCGGAAATGGAGCCAACACATGAAAAAATAAATTACAGAACTGGTTTTCTCATTGGAAGAACGTTTCCACGGTTCCCTCCAATGCTTTCAGTTGTGGAAGATGTTCCTGTCCCGGTTAGACGATTTGATAATCAAATTCCTTCACATTGGGCGGGGGAAACGACATGTATGATCAGGGGGCTGAGGCAGCAAATGAACACACTCTAAGATGAATGCTTTCTCTGAATAATTATTATAACGTAATATGGGAATTAAAAAATATTGTAACAATAGACTTCAACGAAAAATTAACGGAAAGAGGTCTTTGTCTCACGGTCGTAGGGGTTTTATCGCAAAACAAAGTACAAAGGGGTCTTTGTCACAGACCCCATAGTACGGGGGTCTTTGTAATTTACCCAATTTTATTCTATACGAGAGACGCCATCGGAATTAATGTCACATTTAGGGAACACTAATTGTGTAGACGACCCAGTCAAAAGAAGAGTGGCTGCCACCTGCCAATCCCTAGGGCATGCTTCAAATGTGTACGGAGAGAAGACTTGAGTCGAAACAAGCCATTAAGCATTTAAGCCCCATGACCAGACAGAAACAACACATTGATTAGCCATTTGAAATTCGTTCTACAGAAATCTAAATGCAGAGTCCAAAAATGTTATTCATTCTCAGGATTAAACTGTGGGAAAGAAATGGTTCAAGTTCAACTGATCATCAATGTTGTAGTTTCTTCGGTAGGAATGGCTCTGTCGGAGGTCCTGACAAATTACACATATGACACATGGAAAGATTGTTATATTTGGTTCTTCTACCTATTTGGAGACAAGGAAAGTTGCAAGGCAGAAATGATTGAAAGTATTATGATGAAGGTGATCTCATGGGTGAAAACACTGAACTTATTTTCAAATTTTACAGTGGATGATATGATTAGGAATTGGAGGCTAGTTGCTTGCTCTTACTCGGCAAAAAAGAAGATCATGAAGGAGTGGGTGCCCCCTGAACCAGGCTTTGTCAAATTGAACTTTGATGGCAGCAGTTGCGGAAACCCAGGAAGATCTGGAATCGGAGGGGTCATAAGAAATGAAGGAGGAAATGTTCTGGGGCTGTACTCGGGTCCCATTGGAATTGGAAATTCCATTACAACTGAACTGAAGGCAATGGTTGGTTGTGGAAGGGGATTCAAAAGTTATCATCAGTTGGCTAAAACAACATGACAGTACGCCCTGGATATTCAGAAATGGCATCAAGAAGATTAAAAGTCTATCCAGGGACATGCAACTTTCAATTCAGTGGACCCATAGAGCAGCAAATGGACTTGTAGACCAGCTAGCCAAACAAGGGGTGAACAGGGATCAATGTTTCTGGGCTCAACTGTAAAAGTGAAAAATAAATTTACTAGTGGATGCAACGTAGTGGGGTACTCATAAACTATAACCCCTGTAATTTCTTTACATAAATTCAACTTCTTTTTACTGATAAAAAAAAAATATGGGGCCACAGACCACACTGCATCCCGTGGCCTGTAGACCCAACTCCTAAGATGCTCTATGGTTCACATTATTCCATTTACATATCATCAAGGCACCTCAAATTATCAGCTACTTGTAACTCCTGCTTATGGTTTTGGGATACAAGCAAATTAATGTACAATACAAACATGTAGCACAGATAATGAATTTTTAAAAGTTTCAGCATACAGACAATTTCTGGAGCAAACAAGTGACAGGACATCCATAACCTTGAGATGTTGCTTCCGTGATAGACATTCATACTCGGAAAACATTTCCTATTATTATCCATCAATTCCATGTCAACATAAAGAAGGGATATAAGGAGAATGAATTCATACTAGGATCATAGGTTTAAATCCATGCTAACAATAATCCTTTGAGGTTCAAGCAGAACTGTGACACAGATGATATGTAAAACAAGTTCATAATTCATGGGCAAAAAGCACCTTCTTCAAGAATCAGAACGAGACTTGACAATAAAGTTTTGGCGGCTGATGGGGTTCATCACCACTGGAGGTCCTGCAGTACGTGGCCATGCCTGGAATTTCTTATCAGTTTCTTCCCACCAGTCCTTACTTGCAACAGTGTTTGGGGTAGTTCCTGAATTCAGAAGCTTAGTACTTACAAATTGCTAAAACCAATACTTGTGAAACAAATTTCACCAAAGATTAAAAAAAAATACCTCCAAATATCTTATTTTCTGCAATCAAAGTATCAAATACATATGCTACTGCAAAAGATCCCACAGTAGCACCGACAATATACTTGGCCGCCATGGTCAAACTGCAAGCATTTTTAAATGACCCAGTGAAGGAAATTTTCAACATGTATCAAATCCAGAAAAGTTAAACCATTTACCAAATCCCAATACATTATTACATAATTAGCAGAGAAACAAATTGTGCTTTAAAAATGAAGACAAAGAAGGTTGACACATTGTAATAAACCAATTCCTAAAATGAGTGAAAATATCAAATTATGAAATATGAGGCATAGCAAATTAAAAGGGGAAATGCAGAAAATGATGAACGAGAGAATACATTTACCATGAAACATGGGAACAAAGGATGGAAAAATCAATCCAACAGTTTCAGCCTCAGGAGGACAATCTTGTTTAATACACCTAAGGAGATACCATCACAACCTCCACACCCCTCCCCTCAAAACTAATAAATAAATTTCTTGAGGATAATTTCTGAAAAGAATCATACCTAATGATATTCCAATCACTTTCATTCAATGATATACAAAACTCAACCTTGTCAAAAGTTTAAATAAGAATCTTCAATTTTATGGATAGGATTTAACAGTACATATAGAAAGAAGGAAAACAAATAAAAGGTACACAAGATGGTCACAAGGAAAAGTCAGTAACAACAAGAAAAGACCCACTAAAATGAAACAGCAACAAACACCACCTACCTCCCATTTCCACCACAAGAACAAAGCCTGCCATGCAACTAGCCTCCAAAGGCAAGACCAGGGGAAGAAAGAAAAAAAAAATAAGGAAAGGGAGACAGAAGGGCAAAAACACAGATTCAACTAACACTTAACCTTCAATTCCAAAAATAGTTTAAGCACAATCCAAAGCAACCTGTAAGGGTTTACACCTTTCAATTCAAAATGGTTTACTTATTTAATTAAGGCCATCTTATTTTGCTAAATACCAGCTCCAAAGCATCGTGCTTGCTTAAAAATTCTCTCATTTTTTTCCTTCCATAAGTTCAAAGTTGTTTTCTATAACACCATTAAAAGGTATTCCACTCATGCAAACCATAGAAACTCAAAATTATCTGAAATCTAGATGAACCAAACTGAGACTCCAATCATATGAATTGCAAGATTCTACCAAAAAAGAAAGGTCGGATTTTACATTTTGTTACAATAATTGTCAATGATCAAAAGAACTTACAATTCTATTTCTCCATTTTTGTTTCCATACATCACCTTGTCTCCTTAGAAGATCATCAACTAAATACCCATGGAACCACATCTGAGGTTTATTTCATATTTCATAAAAAACATTAAACACCAACAGTTACAATGATTCTTTTGAAAGAATGTTATGAAATCCATCTCAGAACCTCTCATATTCTTTCCTTTCCTTCTCTTGATAAAGCCTTTTTTTTTTGATCAATAACATCAATTTCATTAAATTAAGAGAATAGAGGGAAAGGAATACAGAGGGAGATAAAATAACTTAGCTCCCCAAAAAATAGAAAACTCAGGAAAAGCAAAGAAAATTAAAAACTAGCCCAGAAAACAGCCTCCCTAGTCACTCCTTGCTTGGCCAACCCATCCGCAAATGAGTTGGCACTTCTCTTCACCCAGCTGTACTGAATCTCTATGCCCCCCCCCAGCCATAAGAACTATTTTTTCTCATTGTTAAAGTTCCACAAACCACTGTCCTCTGTCTTCAACCAATTAACCACCACCTTCGAGTCACCTTCCAGAATCAAACGGCTAATATTTAGATCTTTTGCTCTTCGAATTCCTTCAAGCGCTGCAAG